CGCGTAGTTAATCAACGCGTAGTAATCCAACGCGTAATAATCCATCGCGTGGTAATCTAACGCGGACCAATCAGAGCGCGAGGATTACGCGCGCTCAGCCGCTAGGCTCGAAGCTGTCGCTCTCGCGCCTGCGCGTAATCTCGCGCTCTGATTGGTCCGCGTTTTTCCTTAATAATTCAAAAACGAAGCTTCAAATCCCATTTTTGCAAAGGGAAATCTTGTTCAGAATCATGTCAGCTACCATTTCAGGGACCTACGTTGTAGGACACTCTGTATATTATTCTCCATGCGATACATTGTAAAGTACATTATAATATCCACATATATTTTGATCATGAAACATTATGCACTACATAAATAAACTTGTACACATCTTCCAATCCAAACAGGTACAAACACCTCAAAGAACCTCCCAAAACTCCACTAAAATACCAAAGGAATTTCCGAAGAATAACTCAAATGGATGAATCCGCAAATGCAAAGAAACAATTAGAAACGAGTCTCGACAAGAAATCAGCTTACCTGAAAGCGACTAATTACCCCGTGAATGGTAACGATTTAACGAAAGTACCTAAACGAAAGCTGTCAGTGTTTTACCGATCGTTTGACTTGATTGCACCGATCGATCAAGAGAAAGAGAAAGAAACGCTCGAGTTCCGACGAACATCCAGCAGTCCTTCTGTACGAATCGAGAGGACTCAGGAAAACAATGAAATCTCTTCGCAAACGAGTTCCTATAAAAAAGTCTTCGTCGATAATTGTCGCTCGTTAATTGACAGCGACAAAGGTTTGAGCAACTCGTCGCCTGATTGTCTTAGCGAGAAGTGCACGACGAATTCGGAAGTGGCAACGATTAAGCTACCGCAGGTGAAAGAAGGCGCGATTGTTGATGATTATTCTACGCAAAACTGGATTGGGAAATGTAGGGTGGACAGTAATGAAAATCATGAGGTAAGAAAATGGTATTTGGAGATTTGGAAATTTTTTAATTGTCAGATCGTTAGATTTTTAAATTGTTGAGCTTCATAGCTTTGATTTGGTCAAATTAACTAGTTCCTAGATTTGTGTATTCTCAAATTGTCAGATTCCCCAAATTTCCAAATTCCAGAATTCTCCAAATTCCCAAATTCCCAAATTCCCAAATTCCTAAATTCCCAAGTTCCCAAGCTCCCAAATTCCTAAATCTCCCAAACTCCCAAATTCCCAAATCTTCCAAGTTTCCAACTCTCCCAAATTCCAACTCTCCCAAATTCCAACTCTCTCAA